AAATTATAATTTCCTCAGAATTTTTTTTTTGTACTTCATAGTACATACTAGTGTTGGTAGGACTAAAATACCAGCTCAACCAAATCTCCCAATTGAAACATGGAGCTGGAACCGGCCCTGAAACCGAGCAAGGCAAATTGTCAACAAACAATAACTTTGGCCAAAGGATCTATCAAGCCCTAGCGCTGCGTTTAGACCAATCTACTTGCAGCACTGGTTAACATAGATAGATAACATTTATTCCAAGCATTAGTATTTTATAGAACATCAGAGACATTCAGATAATGACAAAATGCACATGAGCAATATCTAATGCATACATTATCTGAAGTCTGTGTGACTGTAGCTAGAGCTTGTTTGTTGCTATAGGCAACCATAACATGGACCCAAATTTGGACCATGTGGCAATGTCAGCTGTTGTCAAGTTCGCGTTGCTCAGGCTCATTAAAACAGATCAGGATGCGCCTAAATCTGTAAGTCTTTTTTTTATGGCACTGGAAATGACTGCTACTAGATATTGGAAGAGATGGGGTCTCTTGAAGTCACATGTATCTTTCTTTGGGGCTCTTGTTAAAATAGAAGTTTAAAATGGTACTAGAATCAGCTAAAGATACCTTCTTCCCTGGATGCTGTATTTCCACACATCTGGGATGGTTCTGGTTAAACTTGGACTGGATCTACTCTTCCATATAATGCAATTTGTGGTGCATTATATGGCCACTGTAGACCCATATAATGCAGATTGAACTGCATTGTATGAGTCTCTACAGTGACAATATAGCGCAGTTCAAAGTTTTATAGTAACTTCAAGCTGCATTATATGACAGTGTAGATCCAGCCTTGGTGAAGCAGAATTCAATGCAAAATCCTGGAGGAGTATTTCAAAGTTTCAGAGTCCATGGACTCAAGTTTTCCCTAACTTCTTCTCAAGTGTTATTTAATGACTGTCCATGCATAATAATAATAATAATAATAATAATAATAATAATAATAGCACCAACTTTATTTGTAGACCACCCTATCTCCCCAAAGGGATTCATATTGTTTGAACACATATTATTAGTAGTATTATTAGTATTTATTCTGCAAAGTATAATATATTGAAATTATTATTATTATTATTATTATTATTATTATTTCACTATATTATGCTTTGCATTTTTGGAAGCTTTCATGGCTGGAATCATTGGGGTATTTTGTAGTTTCCAGGCTGTATGACCGTGTTCTAGCAGCATTTTCTCCTGATGTTTCACCTGCATCTGTGGCTGGCATCATTAGAGGATCTGCAGATGCCAGCCACAGATGCAGTTGAAACGTCAGAAGGAATGCTGCTAGAACATGGGCATACAACCCGGAAACCACACACACCTATATTATACCTATATTACAAATATTCTGTAAATGCTTTTCTGCCTAAATCATTTGTCTAATTATATGGTTATAGCAAAAAAAAGTTGTGTGTTTATAGTTACTAAAAATAAACTCAGCCTGATTTCTAATGGGAAGGTGAGAACAACACATTGGTGAGGTCTCCCATGTTCCTGGAATGGATTTATACACACATTTGGACTGGACTGAATCCAGAAAGTCTAAAGGTAAGTGTCCTGTACGTATTTTCCTTTCTCTTTTGCTAAGTGGAGGGATAGAGAGGGTCTGGAGCTCCCGGTGGCGCAATGGGTTAAACCCTTGTGCCAGCAGGACTGAAGACTGACAGGTTGAATCCGGGGAGAGCACGGATGAGCTCCCTCTGTCAGCTCCAGCTCCCCATGCGGGGACATGAGAGAAGCCTCCCACAAGAATGGTAAAACATCAAAACATCTGGGCATCCCCTGGGCAACGTCCTTGCAGATGGCCAATTCTCTCACACCAGAAGCAACTTGCAGTTTCTCAAGTCGCTCCTGACACGATAATAATAATAAATAATAATAATAATAATAATAATAATAAGTAGAGGGATTTTTTTCTTTCCTTCCCCTTCCTGCACTACATGGTGATCAGTTTAAAAAAAATACTGAGTCATACTTACTGTAGAAAGTGCTCCACTTATCAAGATGCCTGCAAAGATACAGCCCAGAACAATCAGGGAAAGAGCCCATGGGGCAAGCACTACATGATCTGGAGAGACAGTGGGTAAAAAGGAGAGAAAAAGAGAACTTAAATAAATTCAGACCAATGGCATGATCATTATTTCTATGTGGGGGTGTTATTTCTAAGACTTTGTTATTCTATTTTCATTATTGAAAGAAGCAATACAATTTTCCTCTTGCTGTGAGAACATCTTCAAAAACTGCACCACTTTTGAAAAATATTCACTGAATTGGAAGCATCCCAAGCCCTGAGATTTCAGAGTGTCAACTGAGGGAATATATTTACCCTGAAGAAACAAATATTACAGTGGCACTATCGCAATTTACTACTTTTGCTATTTCTAGGGAATAGTGTAATGATCCATATTGGACTTTCTTGAGCACTGTTTCTCAAACTATGGGTCCTAGCCCCAAACGGGGTCTTTTTAGATCAGCGTTTCTCAACCTGGGGGTCGGGACCCGGGGGGGGGGGGTCACGAGGGGGGGTCAGAGGGGTCACCAAAGACCATCAGAAAACACAGTATTTTCTGTTGGTCATGGGGTTCTGTGTAGGAAGTTTGGCCCAATTCTATCATTGGTGGGGTTCAAGGGGCTCTTTGATTATAGGTGAACTATAAATCCCAGCAACTACAACTCCCAAATGTCAAGGGCTATTTCCCCCAAACTCCACCAGTGTTCACATTTGGGCATATTTATTCGTGTAGAGTTTGATCCAGTTCCATTATTGTTTAAGTCCGCAGTGCTCTCTGAATGTAGGCGAACTAGAACTCCAAAACTCACAGTCAATGCCCATCAAACCCTTCCAGTATTTTTTGTTGGTCATGGGAATTCTGTGTGCTAAGTTTGGTTCAATTCCAAAATCCCAAATAGTCCAAAATTGAAAATTGTCATCCTCGGTGGATAAGAGAGTGACACCTTGTTTTTTGATTATCCAAAATCCAGAACCCCAAATATTTCTGGTGGCAATCATTTCAAGATTAGGGATACTAATTAATACCAATCTCCACGGTGCCTAAAAAAACACATCTGCAAGTCTAAGGGACACTTGCTCATGCAGCTGGCTCTATCTGAATTGTGGCGTTTATTTCTCAAGAAACTAGTCTCTTACCAGATGTCACTGCTGGTGTGGTTGTTACTGGTGGCCAGATAATGGTAGGTGCTGTTATTCTTGTGGGTATCAACACAGAGCCCCCAGAAGTTTCTGATGACCCTGGTAGAGAGCCAGATATAGAAGATGAACCACCTCCTGTTCCTCCTGTGATGGAAACGGAGCCTGAAGGGAGAGATCCTGTTCCACTTCCGAGAGACCCTGTTACTCCTGGGATGGAAACGGATCCTGAAGGGAGTGATCCTGTTGATCCTGATAAGGAACCACCTCCAGATGACCCTGTTCCTCCAATGATGGAAGTGGAAGAAGAAAGTGAACCTCCGAGAGACCCTGTTCCTCCTGTGGAGCCTGAAGAAAGTGAACCTGTTGCACCTCCGAGAGATCCTGTTCCTCCTGTGGAGCCTGAAGAAAGTGAACCTGTTGCACCTCCGAGAGACCCTGTTCCTCCTGTGGAGCCTGAAGAAAGTGAACCTCCGAGAGACCCTGTTCCTCCTGTGGAGCCTGAAGAAAGTGAACCTGTTGCACCACCGAGAGATCCTGTTCCTCCTGTGGAGCCTGAAGAAAGTGAACCTGTTGCACCTCCGAGAGATCCTGTTGCTCCTGGAGTAGAAGGGAATGAGCCTGTTGCACCTGACAGGGAACCACCTCCAAGAGACTCTGATACTCCTGTGAGGGAGGCAGAATCAGAAGGGAATGAGCCTGTTGTCCCTGATAAAGACCCACCTGGGAGTGACCCTGGAACAGAAGTAGAACCAGAAGAGAGGGTGCCACCTCCAACTGACCCTGATCCTCCTGGAAAAAAGGTGGAGCCTGAAGAGAGAGATCCCACTCCGCCAGACAGAGAACCACCAAGGAGTGATCCTGATCCTACTGAGACAGAAGCAGAGCCAGAAGGAAGGGATCCTGACAGAGAACCACCTGGGAGTGAATCTGATCCTTCTGGGACAGAAGTAGAGCCAGCAGAAAAAGAGCCAGTTGACCCAGACAGGGAACCACCTGGGAATGATCCCGATCCTCCTGGGATAATAGAGCCAGAAGAGGGGGAGCCACCACCAAGTGACCCTGATCCTCCTGGGGAAAAGGTGGAACCTGATGGGAGGGATCCTGTTACCCCTGCCAGGGAACCACCTGAGAGTGATCCTGTTCCTCCTAAGACAGAAGTAGATCCAGAAGAGAGAGAGCCAGTTGATTCTGACAGAAAACCACCTGGGAGTGACCCTGATACTCCTGGGATAGAAGTAGAGTCAGAAGAGAGGGAACCACCTCCAAGTGACCCTGATCCTACTGGAAAAAAGATGGAGCCTGAAGAGAGGGATCCTGTTCCCCCTGACAAGGAACCATCTGAAATAGTTCCTGGGAGAAAGGTAGAGCTAGTAGGGAGAGAGTCACCTTCCACTGACCCTGATCCCCCTGGGGAAAAAGTGGAGTCTGAAGAGAGGGATCCTGTTCCCCCTAACAGGGAAACACCTGGGAGTGATCCTGATCCCCCTGGGACAGAAGTAGAGCCAGAAGAGGAAGAGCCTGTTGACCCTGACAAAGAACCACCTGGAAGTGACCCTGATACTGCTGGGATATAAGTAGAGCCAGAAGAGAGGGAGTCACCTCCAAGTGACGCTGATCCCCCTGGAAAAAAAGTGGAGTCCGAAGGGAGGGATCCTGTTCCTCCTGACAGGGAAACACCTGGGAGTGATCCTGATCCCTCTGGGAAAAGTGTGGAGCCTGAAGGGAGGGAGCCTGTTCCCACTGACAGGGAAACACCTGGGAGTGATCCTAATCCTCCAGGGATAGAGGTGGAGCCAGAAGAGATGGACCCACCTCCAAGTGACCCCGATCCCACTGGGAAAAAAGTGGAGCCTGAGAGGAGGGATCCTGTTCCCCCTGATAGGGAAACACCTGGGAGGGATCCTGATCCTCCTGGGATAGAAGTAGACCCAGAAGAGAAGAAACCACCACCAAGTGACCCTGATCCTCCTGGGGAAAAGGTAGAGCCTGAGGGGAAGGAGCCTGTTCCGCCTGACAGGGAACCACCTGGGAGTGACCCTGATCCACCTGGGAAAGAAACAGAACCAGAAGAGAGGGAGCCACCTCCAACTGAACCTGATCCTCCTGGGATAGAAGTAGAGCCAGAAGAAAGGGAGCCACCTCCAAGTGACCCTGATCCCCCTGGAAAAAAAGTGGAGTCCGAAGGGAGCGATCCTGTTCCCCCTGACAGAGAAACACCTGGGAGTGATCCTGATCCTCCTGGGACAGAAATAGAGCCAGAAGAGAGGGAGCCACCTCCAAGTGACCCTGATCCACCTGGAAAAAATGTGGAGCCTGAGAGGAGGGAGCTCGTTCCCCCTGCCAGGGAACCTGGGGTGGTTCCTGGGAAAAAGGTGGAGCTAGAAGGGAGAGAGCCACCTTCAACTGATCCTGATCCTCCTGGAAAAAGGGCAGAGGCGGAAGAGAGGGAGCCTGTTCCCACTGACAGGGAACCATCTAGAAGTGATCCTGATTCTCCTGGGATAGAAGTAGAGCCAGAAGAGAGGGAGCCACCTCCAAGTGACCCTGATCCACCTGGAAAAAATGTGGAGCCTGAGAGGAAGGAACCTGTTCCCCCTGCCAGGGAACCACCTGGGGCGGTTCCTGGGAAAAAGTTGGAGCTAGAAGGGAGAGATCCACCTTCAACTGATCCTGATCCTCCTGGGAAAAGGGTGGAGCCGGAAGAGAGGGAGCCCTGTTCCCACTGACAGGGAACCATCTAGAAGTGATCCTGATTCTCCTGGGATAGAAGTAGAGCCAGAAGAGAGGGAGCCACCTCCAAGTGACTCTGATCCACCTGGAAAAAATGTGGAGCCTGAGAGGAGGGAGCCCGTTCCCCCTGCCAGGGAACCTGTGGTGGTTCCTGGGAAAAAGGTGGAGCTAGAAGGGAGAGAGCCACCTTCAACTGATCCTGATCCTCCTGGAAAAAGGGCGGAGCCGGAAGAGAGGGAGCCTGTTCCCACTGACAGGGAACCATCTAGAAGTGATCCTGATTCTCCTGGGATAGAAGTAGAGCCAGAAGAGAGGGAGCCACCTCCAAGTGACCCTGATCCACCTGGAAAAAATGTGGAGCCTGAGAGGAGGGATCCCGTTTCCCCTGCCAGAGAACCTGGGGTGGTTCCTGGGAAATAGGTGGAGCTAGAAGGGAGAGAGCCACCTTCAACTGATCCTGATCCTCCTGGAAAAAGGGCGGAGCCGGAAGAGAGGGAGCCTGTTCCCACTGACAGGGAACCATCTAGAAGTGATCCTGATTCTCCTGGGATAGAAGTAGAGCCAGAAGAGAGGGAGCCACCTCCAAGTGACCCTGATCCACCTGGAAAAAATGTGGAGCCTGAGAGGAGGGAGCCCGTTCCCCCTGCCAGGGAACCTGGGGTGGTTCCTGGGAAAAGGTGGAGCTAGAAGGGAGAGAGCCACCTTCAACTGATCCTGATCCTCCTGGAAAAAGGGCGGAGCCGGAAGAGAGGGAGCCTGTTCCCACTGACAGGGAACCATCTAGAAGTGATCCTGATTCTCCTGGGATAGAAGTAGAGCCAGAAGAGAGGGAGCCACCTCCAAGTGACCCTGATCCACCTGGAAAAAATGTGGAGCCTGAGAGGAGGGAGCCCGTTCCCCCTGCCAGGGAACCTGGGGTGCTTCCTGGGAAAAAGGTGGAGCTAGAAGGGAGAGAGCCACCTTCAACTGATCCTGATCCTCCTGGAAAAAGGGCGGAGCCGGAAGAGAGGGAGCCTGTTCCCACTGACAGGGAACCATCTAGAAGTGATCCTGATTCTCCTGGGATAGAAGTAGAGCCAGAAGAGAGGGAGCCACCTCCAAGTGACCCTGATCCACCTGGAAAAAATGTGGAGCCTGAGAGGAGGGAGCCCGTTCCCCCTGCCAGGGAACCTGGGGTGGTTCCTGGGAAAAAGGTGGAGCTAGAAGGGAGAGAGCCACCTTCAACTGATCCTGATCCTCCTGGAAAAAGGGCAGAGCCGGAAGAGAGGGAGCCTGTTCCCACTGACAGGGAACCATCTAGAAGTGATCCTGATTCTCCTGGGATAGAAGTAGAGCCAGAAGAGAGGGAGCCACCTCCAAGTGACTCTGATCCACCTGGAAAAAATGTGGAGCCTGAGAGGAGGGATCCCGTTCCCCCTGCCAGAGAACCTGGGGTGGTTCCTGGGAAAAAGGTGGAGCTAGAAGGGAGAGAGCCACCTTCAACTGATCCTGATCCTCCTGGAAAAAGGGCGGAGCCGGAAGAGAGGGAGCCTGTTCCCACTGACAGGGAACCATCTAGAAGTGATCCTGATTCTCCTGGGATAGAAGTAGAGCCAGAAGAGAGGGAGCCACCTCCAAGTGACCCTGATCCACCTGGAAAAAATGTGGAGCCTGAGAGGAGGGAGCCCGTTCCCCCTGCCAGGGAACCTGGGGTGGTTCCTGGGAAAAAGGTGGAGCTAGAAGGGAGAGAGCCACCTTCAACTGATCCTGATCCTCCTGGAAAAAGGGCGGAGCCGGAAGAGAGGGAGCCTGTTCCCACTGACAGGGAACCATCTAGAAGTGATCCTGATTCTCCTGGGATAGAAGTAGAGCCAGAAGAGAGGGAGCCACCTCCAAGTGACCCTGATCCACCTGGAAAAAATGTGGAGCCTGAGAGGAAGGAACCTGTTCCCCCTGCCAGGGAACCACCTGGGGCGGTTCCTGGGAAAAAGTTGGAGCTAGAAGGGAGAGATCCACCTTCAACTGATCCTGATCCTCCTGGGAAAAGGGTGGAGCCGGAAGAGAGGGAGCCCGTTCCCACTGACAGGGAACCGTCTAGAAGTGATCCTGATTCTCCTGGGATAGAAGTAGAGCCAGAAGAGAGGGAGCCCCCTCCAAGTGACCCTGGTCCTTCTGAGAAGGAGGTGAAGCCAGAAGGAAGAGGGCCTGTTCCCCCTGATAAAGAACCCTCTGGGAGTGACCCTGATCCTCCTGGGACGGAAGTAGAGCCGGAAGAGAAGGAGCCACCTCCAAGTGACCCTAATATTCCTGGGAACAAGGTGGAGCCAGAATGAAGAGAGGCTTTTTCCTCTGAGAGAGAATCATCTGGGAGTGACCTTGATCCTCTTGGGAAAAAGGCAAAGCCTGAAGGGAGAGATCCTGCTCCCCCTGATAGGGAACCAGCTGGGTGTGACCTTGATTCTCCTAGGACAGAAGTAGAGCCAGAAGAGAGGGAGCCACCTCCAAGTGACTCTGATCCTCCTGTGAAAAGGGTGGAGCTAGAAGGGAGAAAGCCTGTTCCCGTTTTCTTCTTTCTAGCAGGAACAGGCTCTTTCCCTTCTGGGAGTGACCCTGATCCTCCTGGAACAAAAGGTGAGCCAGGAAAGAGAGAGAGAGTCCTAAAAGATCTTGATCTTCTTGGGGGAAAAGTGGAGCCAGATGGGACTGAATCTATTGCTCCTGGTTGGGAGCCACTTCCATGTGACTCTGTGTTGTCAGGGAAGATAGTGGAGTTAGAAGAGTGTGAGCCTGTTGCTCCTGTTAGAGAGATGGAGCGATTTGGGAGTGATCCTGACAGAGAGCCAGTGGGTCCCTTGGCTGCCCCTCCTATTAGAGAGCTACCTGGTAGTAATCCTAAGAGTCCTGATAGGGAACCAGAGCCAGTAGGGGTTGATCCCCCTGACAGGGAGAGGGAGCCATCTGGACGTAATCCGGTGAGTCCTGAGAGAGAGCTGGAAGAACTTGATCCTGGTGACCCGGATAGGGAGAGGGAGCCATCTGGAAGTGATCCTGCAGATAAGGAGCCTTCACTTTGTGCAGCTGTTGAGAAAAAATATGACAATAAATACCTGTGATTTATATATGAAGTTGTCAGGTTTGGAGCATCCTATACAATATAATATTACTTCTAATAATAATAATAATAATAATAATAATAATAATAATAATAATAATATGATATACTAATTATATATTTTATATTACATGTAATATTACTAATAATATTACAATATATTGGTATAGTACAATATAGTAATATATAATACTGATATTGTGCTATGCTAATCATATAATATATTTTATGTATATATATCTTGTAAGCCACTCTGAGTCCCCTTCTGGGTGAGAAGGGCATCATATAAATGTCATAATTAAAAAATAAATAAAACCTGGATCTTGTGATGCCCCCCTGGTGATGCTGCAGGAGGTCAGCCCTGGTGGAGGCCATTAAACTTGAAACTTCAAAACTCAGTTACAAAAAGGAAAACCAGTGAAAACCAGAGAAGCCATTGAAATCCACAAGCATGTGGACAATTTCAACAGAAAGGAAGAGACCATGAAAATGAACAAAATCTGGCTACCAGTATTAAAAAACTCTAAAATTACAACAGCAAAACAGCAGAGAGGAAACAACCAGGCACATCTTAAGACCTCTCAACAAAAGATTTTCCCAGGCTCAGCCAGGCCTTCAAATGCTAATGAAGGTGGTCAGCTGAAACATTCACACCTAGCTCCAGCAGAAAAGAGCTCTTTGCTCCACCCCAGTGCTAATGAAGGTGGTCAGCTGAAACATTCACACCTAACTGCAGCAGGGAAGAGCTCTTTGCCCCACCCCAGCCATTCCACAGATATATAACCCATTGTCCTAATTCCAACAGACCTCACTACCTCTGAGGATGCTTGCCATAGATGCAGGCGAAACGTCAGGAGAAAAATTGCCTCCAGAACATGGCCCTATAGCCTGAAAAAACCCACAAGAACCTAGAAAACCAGTGTGTTATACACAATAGACTCAATTAACCCACACCCATGGAGTTGGTAGATATTGGATAAATATAAAATAATTTTAATTACTTGAGACTTACTATAAATAATAGGCCTAACTTATACATAATATTATTTTGAATTATTGTGATGGTTTTCACCACTTCTATTTAAATACTGTTTGGTTTAATTCTGGTTTTTAACACTGTTTGCCAGTCTGAGTGCCTGTTAAGAGGGGAAAAATGAAATAATAATAATAAGAATAGAATCACAGAATCATAAAATCTAGAGTTGGAGGAGACCTCATGAGCCATCCAGTCCAACCCCCTGCCAAGAAACAGGAAAATCACATTCAAAGCACACCTGACAGATGGCCATCCAGCTTCTGCTTAAAAGCCTTCAAAGAAGGAGCCCCCACCACACTCCGGATCAGAGAGTTCCACTGCTGAAAAGCTCTCACAGTTAGGAAGTTCTTCCTCGTGTTCAGGCGGAATCTCCTTTCCTGCAGTTCGTAGCCATTGTTTCATGTCCTAGTCTTCAGGGCAGCAGAAAACAAGCTTGCTCCCTCCTACCTATGACTTCTCCTCACATATTTGTCCATAGCCATAATGCTACCAGTTTGCTGGTAGCATATAATCCATATTTATTCTCAGGCCCCTTCTACACTGCTATATAAAACCCAGATTATCTGATTTAATAATCTGCATTATATCATAGTGGAAGGTAAAGGTAAAGATTTTCCCCTGACACTAAGTCCAGTCGTGCCCTACTCTGGAGGTTGGTTCTCATCTCTATTTCTAAGCCGAAAAGCTGGTGTTGTCCGTTTACACCTCCAAGGTCATTTAGCCAGCCAGGCCTGTAGCCAGGATTTTGATTGTGGGGGGGCTGAGTTTGATTCGGGGGGGCTGAGTCTGAGTGAAAGAGGGTCTACCCTAGCAAACCTTTTGTATCGTTATCCCAATACCCCCATGCATATGGGATATATTGAGCATGGTGATCAGATCATGATATGAATAAACATAACAGTTTAAATAATGTACCAGTAAGGCCTTCTCGTGGACCACCCTGAGAATTTCAGGGGGGGTTGAAGCCCCTCAACCCCCCCCCCCAGGTTCATGCCTGTGGCCAGCATGACTGCATGGAGTGCCATTACCTTCCTGCTGGAGCAGTACCTATTGATCTACTCACATTTGCATATTTTCAAACTGCTAGGTTGGCGGAAGCTGGTGCTAACAGCAGGAGCTCACATCGCTCCTCATATCCGTACCTGCGACCTTTCGGTAAGCAAGATCAGCAGCTCAGCAGTTTAACCCACTGTGCCACTGGGAACTCCATATTGTAGTGTAGACTCAAATAATCCAGTTCAAAGCAGATCACGTGGATTTTCAACTTAGTCTTGGGAATTAGCTGCTACAAAACTTCCAGGATGATCAATTCTCTGCTCCCAAAAACTGGGGTTATGCATCAAGCAGCCATATTTTAATACACTTCTTCATAAGTAGAGTGGCAATTATGAGTCAAGGATCAGTAATATGTCTGTGGTTTATCGTTATTCTCTTCACATACCTGTATATACTCAAGTATAAGTTGACAAGTATACGTCGAGAGAAGGTTTGGGAGACAAAATTGTGGATTTTGATATGGCCTATGGATAAGTCGAAGGTCATTCCATGATAAGAGAATTTGGGGGGGAGGGGAGTTGAAGCCCCTGAAGCCCCCCCCCCCCCCCCCCCCCGGCTATGGGCCTGATAAGGGGAAAACCTTTACCTTTACCTACTACTACTACTTATTATTATGATGATTATTATTAACAACAACCACCACAACAGTGGAGTACAGAGAGATTTGGAGCAGATAGCTCACTCCTCTACCTTTCCAGAGCCCGGAAAAGTTGGTTTTTGAGTGATAGCCATCATCCCATTTCCAACACATTTGGACAAACATCATCTGTTGATTGGGATGAAGGGCAAATCAGCCAGAAGAAACAAGCCATAAAAAAGCTAGGTGAGCTACTTCAAAAAGTATGCCTGAACTTAGTGGTTGACAGATTAATCTGCTTAGTTCTTTTTTATTTTTATTTTTATTTTTATTTTTGTAATTGCCTTTCTCTTCTTGGGTGGTTCACAAAAAACAAAACTTTCCAAAAAGATATTTAAAGAAATAACAAACATATAAAAGGAGGTAATCATTCAACTACAGTCAGAGTGGATCTACACTGCTATATAATCCAGACTATCAAATCATATAATCCAGATTATTTGATTGGAACTAGATTATATTAGGCTGGATCTACACTGCTCTATACTGTAGGATGTGATCCTACTGGCAGTGTAGATTCATACAATCCAGTTCAAAGCAGATAATCTGAGATATATTTTTATCATGTCAGAAGTGAATTCAGAATATACTGCAAATCGCTGTTGTTGTGAGAGAATTGCCCAGGGGACACCTGGATGTGTTGCCATCCTGTGGGAGGCTTCTCTCATGTTCCCACATGGGAATCTGGGGCTGACAGACAGGAGCTCACCCGATGTCTTGCGGATTCAAAATGCTGACCTTCAGGTCTTCAGGTGAGCAGTTTAGCTGGCACAAGAGTTTAACTCATTGTGCCACTTCGGCTCCTGGAATCAGATCCTGGGATATAGGGTAGTGTAGATCTATCCTGAGTCTAAACTGCCATGTAATCCAGTTCAAAGCAGATAATTTGGATTTTATATGGCAATGTAGCTCCAGCTCCAGAAAGCTATGAATGATTGCTACAGCTTGGATTACACAAAGACCATAATGTCTACCTATGGATTCCCCGTTGCAGCATTTCAATTAACAATGCAGTGTCAAATAGTTTTGAGATGCATTCCTTTTTGACAGCCATCTAAAGTGGAAATTGAGTGTGATCACAAAGATCACTCATAACTATACAGCTTCCATTATACAGCTGCCTGTAGATTGGTATATTTGAGTTATGGATATGAATCCTTTCCCTCCTCTATTGGGGAAAAAAAGGCTTTTTTTTTCTCCTCAGTATTCTCCTCATACCTGACTATCTTAAAGGGTTGTGCATGAACTATGTTGCAGAGAAAATATGTGGTGTTGTACAAACAAAACCCCCAACGCCTGTTTTCTGCACAGAAATTCAGCACAGAAAACAATGTTTTTAATGTGCACATCCACGAACACACACCATTTTTGGTTGTAAAACAATTCCTGTGCAACACTCCAGGATACTGAACACCTGACTATTGTGGAAATTCCTTGCGAATATATTGTTCTTTCCAATACAATTTATTTTTCAATACTGGCATGAATAATT